GCGGCTGTTACTTCTGAGGCAAAAAATGCAGCAAAGTGCACAAGAAGTTCTCGCTTCTGTGTTACCCGGGAGCACCCGCTGCTGTTGTCCACCAAACACCCCTCTGATTCCCCTTTCGTGAGGTGGCTGCAGCGAGATGGTGGTGGTTTGACCAGTGCTCAGTCTGCTTCTATGGGTTATCTGAATTGCTGTAACACTGCTCTGCTGGCCTGCATTTGTGTATGAGCCATGTAGGCAAAGAAATCAAATGTCTAGTGCCTAACGTACAAGGAGTTCCTGTTGCAGTCCAGGAGGATAGTAATGATAAGATGGCTTCATTGAGGTAGATTTGTAAAAAGAAATCTGCAAATTGTATGCACATTACATGAGATTCTCCAGTATTACAAGCCGATAAGGTAAAGTCAGTAGTTGATTGTCTTCCAAGAAAACAACTGGAGTAGTCCAGTTTCCATCACTCATCTGTGAGCCTACTCATAAGGGGCACCTTCTGTCTGCCATTCTTGGCTTCTTGGTTTTCTCTGAAGACAGTACCTTTCATTTCCCCCTCCAAAGCAGTCATCCTCTTATTGAATATATGCTGTTCTGTTGGGCTTTTTTCTGCAGTATTACAAGGTTTTTAAAATGAGAATGTTCAATGGATGCTGCAGCTGCATTTAGATACACAATGAATTTACACTTTTTACTAGTTCTGTGTTAATTCATGACAATAAACTAGCTATCATAAGTTGTATGTTTTCTCATTTCTGTTTTTTAAGTGTTCTGCAAAATACAGAAACTTTTAAAAGTTTCCTAGATTTGGTAGGGGGGAGGTTGCTCTATTATTTTGAAGGTTTTTTGTAAGATATCCTACAAACATTCAGTTTGGAAGTTAGTTGCATTTGGGTAGGTGGAAATCATGAGAGTTGGGTGTCAAATTTTGTTTGTTTTAACTTTTAAGGAATTATGCTTTTAACTGCAAGTCATCTGTCCCTTTATGTGTCAAAAATGGGCAAGAAGAATTAAACAGTGAAGTAAATGACTGACAACTTCCTGTGGGACACGTTATGTGGAATACTAGATGACAGAAGAAAGGCAGGACCTGCTGGTGATCTGTCTTAGACCCATGATTACAGATGGGGTGAAGTGAATACAGCAGCATCTGCTCCTTTCCACCTCACCTTCACTCTTGCCCTTACAGGCTGGTCTTCTCTGTCACATTTAAGACCCTGATAGTTATTTCAGGATCTGCTTGGGAAAGCAGTGGTAGCAGGTACACTTCCATAAGTGGTTGTTTCTACTCTGCTTTTTTCATGCTTCTGGCAAAATGACTTCTCCATGGGCCAGTTT